TGACTAACAGGCAAAGTAGTTTTGTAGTGCTACTTTGTTCCAGATGCAAGTCAGAAAAACAGGAAGAGGAGAAGCAGGAACTATGGAAAGAGAGAGAAGAATGGAAAAAGGAGAAATAGTGAAGACTTAGAGATGCTAGGTGAACTTCACCCAGACAAATGAAGAAACAGAAACTATTAAAAGTTATATTGGGGGAACTAGTTCAGTGATAGAGCACTTCCTTACACGTCTGGTACACTGGGTTAGATCCTCAGCACTGCATAAAAATAAATAAGTAAAGATATTGTGTCCAACACAACACCACCACTACCACTACCATCATCAACAACAACAACAACAAATACACACACACACACACACACACACACACACACAAAGGCTGTATTGGGTAAACAATACAAGATAAAGAGAAAAGACAAAGAAGTTGGACTTCTGTTTAGAAAGACCTGAGTAAGAATAGGAACTCAGCCGGGCACGGTGGTTCACACCTGTAATCCCAGCGGCTCTGGAGACTGAGACAGGAGTTCAAAGCCAGCCTCAGCAAAAGCGAGGCACTAAGCAACTCAGTGAGACCCTGTCTGCAAATAAAGTACAAAATAGGGCTGAGGATGTGACTCAGTGGTCAAATGCCCCTGAGTTCAAACCCTGATACTAGGAAAAAAAAAAAAAAAAGAACAGGAACTTGGATAAAGCAGGACCATATTGATAAACCATGAAAATCAACTTTACAAACTTAACCATGTAAGATTTTCTCATTCTAAAGCAAAGTGACTGTATCTATGCTGATGGATCATGTCAATATGAGAACATATGGTACCAGAAAGATGTAGGGGGCAAGGGTATAGGTCGAGTCAAGTGCAGCGGTGTAATCTCTGTAATCTCAGCTACTCTGGAGGTTTAAGCAGGAGAAACACAAATTCGAGGTCAACCTCAGCAACTTATCAAGACCGTGTCTCAAAAAATAAAAAGGACTGGGGATGTAGCTCAGTGGTAGAGTGACCCTGAGTTTAATCCCCAGTACCAAAAAACAAAAACAAAAACAAAAACAAAAACAAAAAAAGTTGAAATTTCAATAAAATAAGATCTGAAGACTACTAACAAAATCATTTTATGGGGCTCTGTGTAACTGTCGGTCCTTAATATCAGTCAGGATTCTGATCACAGACAGATGGTATATTGTGTCAAGGTTGAGAGAATCAACACAGAGTGGTGACACTCTTAGGGACTATCCATTGCAAAAAGCCATTGGATGGTCATGGACACTGGTAGGAGAGGGACTACCTGGTAGCCCTTCAATAGAGGAACATAAACTCTGGCTATCTCAGAAGCTGGCAGAGCAGGAGAGGGAATACCTGGCTTCTGTCTCCTCCCATCCTCCAATAGCAGTGGTTGAATTAAATGGGAAGCCTGAGGCCTACAGACCTGTGTACTACAATTCTAGAAAAATAGGATTCTAGAACCCACGCCAGGATAGGAAATGTGAAGGCGCAAATGGAGAATATTCAGGATGGTATTAACTCAACAGGGACTTTAGGATGCCAGAAGCTGGGCTACCTGGTGTGAATGGTGGCACTACCACTTAGAAAGTATTTAACCTGATCAAACAATTTGTCCTATCTCTGGCTGACCCAACAGTCAACACCAACTCCCTTCTCCCTTGTTGCCTTTTACTTTAGAGTCTGTAAAAGTTAAAGACATACTTCTCATGCTCCTTTGTAGCCAGGAGTACCCAAGTAACATAGTTCTTGCCAAGAGAACATACAGATAAAATAAGGTAACAATACTGACATTTGGTTAACACTTAGGATGTGCCTGGCACTGTTTGGGGCCCATTACTTACGTGAACTCTATAAAATCTCTCAAGAACTCTGTATGGAAGACATTATTGCCATCTCCATTTAGAGATAAGGAAAGAGAGATTAAGCCACTTAATCAAAGTCACAAAACTTGCAAGTGGAAGAGCTATATTTGCATCCAGGTAGCCAGGGTCTGCCCACTTATAAAACACTGAGCACAAGTAAGCACTCAAATAATAATAATCATGCTGATCAGGTATCACAAGAGCACCCAGAAAAGGATGCAGGGGCACTTTAGTTTGAGGTGGCTCTGGAATATTTCCTTTCCAAAGTCTAACTTGAAAATGGAACTGTGCACCCAGTGTAAAAAATTCTTAGAAGGCCAGATGAGAAACTCAAGGAGAGGAAGGGCTTAGAATGAGCAAAGAAGTTCTGTAATGAATTATCCTATAGTACTCAAGAACTTACCCCATGGCTCTCTTCCTTAGATTTCTTCTCCTCCTTGGGTCTCCATTTCCCACTTAATACACTCTCACCAACCTGAAGCCAGGATCTCCCCACTTGGTGCCTCTAAACCCAAGACTAAAACATATTGAGCATGTAATACCCAGTACTGCCAGTAGGTGTCAGTATCTATCACAAAATAAAACATGGTGAAAGCCATCCTTTAAATTCAAAGATTTCAAATTATGTAAAACAAATCAGTTTCTTGGTTTATTCATGCTTAGAAAGTTGCAATTCCAATTCCAACTTTCTATCTCGCTAGATATATGTGCATAAATTTTGTCAAACATTAAAAAAATGTAGTGAAAAGTTTGAAGATAGAAGCTGTCTACTTGAAAAGATTAAAATAATTTTCCTGTAAAATTAGTTATTTATTGATATATAAGTTACTTATATGCTTCATTATTCTATATAATCAATGTCTCAGAAGACACAACCAGGAATCTGGAAATAGGATATCCTACTAGTGTAAGATCTTGCATGCTATATGAGGCTGAAGTTTAAAATGAGCCATTTTCAGTTACTGGTACCTTTTTTGGATATGTTTACCTTAATTCTGGTGTTTCCCCCAGTTTATAGATTGTCTGCACAACAGACAATCGTACCCCGATTTTAAGAAAATGGAGCATGTGGAAATCTGAATGTACTAAACAACTCAGCATTATTGAAACCCTATCTGCTGAGCACCTATTTTTTTGTTGCTTGATGATATCTCAGCTCAGGTATTGGAAAGCTAGCCTCATCCAATCCAATGAAAAGCTTTAATTTCACATTCAATTCAATGTTCTCTCATTCCCCAATATGGATATGACCAAGGGGTCACTCCTTCCCACTTTGCTTCTGTATCCTCTAGCATTGGAGAAGGGGTAGGAAGGACTACAGAGGGAAACCCAAAACCTCTGTAGGGAAGGAGGTCCTGCAGGATCTGTAAACTGCAGACTTTGCATAGCCATTGGCCAGAATTTGTACACTCAGGAGCAAGGGGAGTGGGTAAGTTAGGACACATAATCTTTCTTCTGAATATTCATGCACCCAAGGTAAAATGACTTCTCCCAGCATAACCTTTTCTGATTACCACCCTCAGTGCCTTGTGTGCTGGGTAACTTACCCAGAGGGCAACTCTAAGTATACCAATGAGAAGGCTCAAGTTCTGCTTATTTTTGCGGAGTTTACTTGCATCACAGAATATGCAAATATCCTTGTTTGAGAAGCCTCTGTACTCTTCCTCTAGGGCAATTCTACTACACTGGAACTATTTTTACTCTTTATTTAGGCTGTAGGGAATGTTAACATAATGATAGCAGCAGGAACTGTCGAATTGCCTCTTCATTAGTCCTATGGATTACTTAGCACCTAAGCACTTGGCTTGAAGATGGTATTGACGATTCCAAGATAAGAGCAAAAGCCCTATCCAATATGGTGTAAACCCAGGTCCTAAATAAAACTAGCAAGTATGGAAATAAATGAAGACCAACTAAATGAGAAAAGCAAAGGCTATTCATTCTAAGCTTCTGTAACAGAAGAATCAGCTACCTATCCCTGTGTTGGCTGAGACTCAAGGCAGCAGAGGAGTGGGAAGGCTTCATGGGGGGGAAAAAAGGGAGGGATGACCTCAGTGTGGCCTGAATGGAGCTGTTGTCATGGGAAGCGGTGGGCAGGCTACCTAATTAACTCCATTTTGTCTCTCTCTGACCTGTTCTTTTCTGAGTTATTCTTCCTCCCAGTTTATGTTAAATTCCAGGATCGCAGGTCTGATTTAGATAAACATCTTGAGATGAAAACTGCAACTGCCTCCCGAGTAGCAGTAATTTCCTTGGCACCAAGATTTCCCTGGCACCAAATGGACTCTGTGTGACCAGTTTTGGGTTAATGATCAACTAGATCATGGCCTCACCAAGACTGTTAGCTGTGCAAATGCCCTCAACTCTTGCCTTTGTTCCTTGAGTACAACCTCAAAGCTCTTGTTGACACTTAGATCTGTCTTCCCAGTGTAGCCACACTGAGAATAAGCTCCTTTCTTATCTCACCATCAATTTTTCATATTTGGTCTTTGGGGGCAAGTGGCCAGGCCTGGTGGGTTGGAACCATTCTTCTGAAGCCAGGCCTTTGGCTAGGACTCTGGTATCAGAGAGCCAAAGTGTGGTGGAGGAATAGGGAAATGTCATTTATTAATCAAGTTTTGGACATTTTGGGCCAGTTGTGACAGAAGTTGTTGTTTACCTATTGTTTAATGCTGTCACTATTAGCAGTCTGGCAAGACTGGTTTATAGCAGGATGACTTCTTAAAAATAGATAGATAGATAGATAGATAGTAGATGGGCACAATACCTTTACTTATTTATTTTTATGTGGCACTAAGGATCGTGCCTCACATGTGCTAGGCAAGTGCTCCACTACTGAGCCACAACCTCCGCCCCTAGGCTGACTTATCGAGCTGCTTATCGTAGAGAAGATTAAAGTTTCTAGGTAGTTGTGGGTTAAAGTTCTATTTTGATATATAGTTTGGCCATTGGCCTTTGGTATATTCAGTATGTCCCTTGCAAGTCATGCACTTAGTTCTCCTTTATCAAATATGATAGAACCTCACATTTTAATCATGTTTCATAGTTAGCAACGTACGTTTATGTGTATCTCCATAATTAGTAATGCAAGATCTTGTTGTCTTCCTTGTAAAGCTAAGAAATGTTGATTAACTCAAGCTTTGAGACTGTAAAAGAACTTTATTTGGGAGTCTTAGGAATTGCAATTCAGGAGACAGATTCAGATAGAACATAGTAGGCATTCTGAAGGAGGAAAGGGAAGTGGGAGCATATATAGGCAAGCAGTGCTGAGTTATTGGCAAAGCAGGAAAAATTCCCTTCTCTGGGAAACTTCTATCAATTATTGAGAAGGGCAATGCTGACAGGGATAATGTGACTGGTTAAAGATTAGGAAAAAATGCATATACATAGTGAAAATGTCCACAAAACAATAATCCAATAACTTCTTGACACAGAACTTGAGTCTCTGGATACATGGGAATTTGCTCCGTCCAGATGACCATAATGGAAGGTGAAGGTCAGCCAAAACTTCCCAGGCAGCAGCTGGAGGCGTGTGTGAATCCTGTTTCCTTAATGGCCTTCCAACTCCATTTTGAAAAGCTCTCTCACCGTTGCTTTTATGGTGGCTTTTCTTTATATTTTTATAAAGTTAAGTGTCTTTCCAAAGTCACAAAGCTGCAAGAGACAAATTTGCTTAGAAATGTCCATTTTTTTTTTGTTTTATTTTGGCACCTGTCCAAAAAAACACCCCCTTTGGCTTTCACAAATGCCCTGGTCTGAACAATAACTTATCTGATCAGCCTGTGCCACCCACTAACTCCTCCAGGTCTTTTCCAGGCCAGCCACCCAGTGAGTGGAGTCCAGTGATTTGTTTAAACCACAGCTTTCTTTTAAATCTGTCCCATCAGCAACATGTTGATGAAGGTCAAACACAGAAAGTTTCTGTTAAAAGATGATTCGCAAAATGAAACAATTGTGAAAATGAAGCTCGATGCTTCCTAGTTTAATATTCCTTAAGGAATCAGTAGCATCAGTTTGAATATGATAAACACAGGACAAGGACAATATGCATTTGTGTCAATGTTTAACATCTTCCTTGAGCAATTTTTTTAATTACCATGCAGCCTCTGGCCTTTCAAAACTCACTTGAATGCTTAAAAACAACAAAAATTGTGTAAACGCACCAGTTACAAACCCATTCAAGATTATTCCCCTTCAACAGGACTGTTGGAGCAGAATGTCAGTTTATTTTCTGCAGTCAATTAATTCTGCCTTTCTTAAGCAGAATGTCTAATTGCCTTAAGCTACAGAGATGTTTTTTCTTTCTTTTTTTTCTAGAACAAAAAGCTGTCTGCATCATTTATGTTAATACAAACCTGCAGGTGGCAAATGACTGCTCTTTGAAATGAAGGCAAATGACTACTTTGAGACGATTGAGATGCATTAGGGCTCTTGATTTCAGAGAAAGGAAACATTGAAGCAAGAAATAAATTGGTCTTGAGCCATTTATGGACTAACAAGCACCCCATGATCCCTTTGTGAACCTTGGGTTCTTGGGCTGGCTGCTCTTCCAGCCCTCGGCCAAGATCCCCCTTCTGCGGGACTCTCAGTTCTCCTCTTTGCTGTAATCCTTGAATTAATGAACTCCTCAGGGAGGGAGGATCCTTTAAGTCAATATCAAACTACCCCTGCATCCAAAACTCTTCATAAATCATTCAAAGCAGGAATTCTTCAGGGTAAGAGGTAAGCCTTGTGCAGCTCTGCTTTAATTTTGTATCATTGTTAGAATTGCAGGAGATGATCTGGTCCAAGATCTTAACTTTCGACAAGGAAAATATGTATTAAAGGCACTATGCCCATTTTATTGACAAATTATTTGAGTCTCTTGATGAGTGGAAATTGGGACCAAAACACCAGTTGCCTTATGCAGTTTTCTCTCTATGGAACCCCTCTGCCACTAAATAGAAGAGACAGACATCTCTGAAGGTTCCTTAGTGTCACTTGTCTGGAATCCATAATGGGCTTTCTTCTAGAAATTTGCTTATTTAAATATCGGCCAGGTTCTACTTTAACCCACTACATTACTGTAATCCTCAAAGCAGCTCAAGTTCCTGAAGAGGTTCCGAGTATGCCACCCCAGAATGTGTGACTCTGGCATGGGGATTCTTTTGAACTGAAGGCAATTGAGAAAAAGCAGACCCAGGAATTAGATAGAAATTTAGAGATATAGAGAGAACGCTCAGTCTCTAAAGGAAAAAAATATCACTGTTAAAATAAAGAACAAACAACTTGGAAAACGACTGGTGAACGAGACAAAGAAGACTAAGGAGACAGAAAAGGGCCAGAATGTAAGGATGCACGAAGCAGGCCATAAATTACTTTGTAACTTTCCAGTTCCCTGTAAATTCTCTGGAATGTAGTAAAACAGGAACAAGATCTTCCTAGGACCATTAACCCCTGGTGAGGATAAGGGCTCATGGGACCGTGACCCTCTGGTCTTGTTAGGTTGTAGTTAGTAATAAGCAGTGAAATATGAATCAATGACATAGCAGGGTCACAGGGGTGTCTTTGAAATTGTCCTTAATGAATGATCAACTAACCTGTAGAACCACAATAGGTGTGTTAACCTTGAGAATAAACACGAGGAAACAAAGGGAATGAATTGAATTAAGAAATACTTCAAGGAAAAAAAAAAGATCAATAGGGTTAACTCCTGGCAGGGTCTACTGAGGTCACTGTAAAATTAGGATTTGTGGTTTTGGATTTCTCAATGTATTTCAGAAGGAAAATTTCATGAATAGCACAGGCACATTAAAATGAAGTCAGTCTGGTCATTGAGTCCTGCATCTGAGTTAACTTAAAATTGACTTGTAGATGAAGCCCCTCCCCATCAAAGGAAGTATTGCTTCCTTTCTCACTCAGAGGTGACCTACACAGTCTATTATGAGAGTGTTCTTTGCTTGAGCTTTACTTTCGCTCATAGTAAAATTCTCTTGCTTGACTTTTCACATCTGATTTGAAAGTCTCTTTGGTTGGGACACAAAAAACAAGGTTTGGAGCTTCAGTAGTTTCTGTGACAACCCCATCAAGAATTGGATACCTGATGGCCAGAGACATTGATGTTAAACTGAAACTCAAACCAGATGTCCTAATGGGGAAAAAGGATCTTGCTCAATATTTCTCAATCCCAAGGGTAGCGGGCTGGAGATATAGCTCAGTTGGTGGAGTGCTTGCCTAGAATGTACAAGGCCCTGGGTTCAAACCCCAGCACCAAAAACAAACAAGCAAAAAACCCCAAGGGAAGTGCAGCCCCTTTGGGTTATACATAGTCTGCCTAATTATATGTGTTAATAGTCAGACTTGACATTTAGTATCTAGAGGTGCATCTCACTCTTGAGATTTCCTGCTATCTGCTTTGAGAATGTGGACCTTCCCTTTATAATAAGCCTTAAATTTTTTTCTGGGACATGAAAGAAACTGAAAGGTTTGAGTAGAGATCTCTACCTCTGGAAAGACCTTCTCAGACCCACATCTGAGCTCTATCCACCCCCTTTATCTGCCTGAAAGCCCCCCATGTTGTTGTCCCTTGCCAACTAGCACTAGGAAGCAGATGACAGTCTTACCACAGAGATGGCACCTGGAGAGAAAGCTCTGCACAAACACACCTTACTAACTAGCACTTCCCTTCCGTTTGTTCCCCATCTATTTACCTTCTCAGGTTCATTGCCTCTGAAAGTCTCAACCTCTTTTTCCTTGGTCTTATCTGGTCTCTACAAATTTGCTGTTCTTTTGTTAACATGCTAGATAAGCCCTTCTGAGTTCCTCATCCCTGAGTTTCTCCCCCAGGTCTAAGTAGGATACGTGTGTCAGTAAACCTCTGTTTGTGATCCTGTGTCTCATCTTTCCCCTGTCGGTCATAGCTGCAGGGCCCCAGCTGAAGGAAAAGCATCTCTTCCCTTTCTTTCACACCCTTAAAGCTCAAGTGCTGGGCCTGATAACTAAGCTTCTCTGAAAGCTAAGCCTTGAGGTATTGGGGAACCCCAAATGAGCCTGGAGATAGGGGAGACCATGAGGCTGATTGAGGACTTACGAGGGGGAGTCTCTTGGAGGTTAAGGGGAAGAGTGGCAGAGAAGGGGTCAGTTGGAGAATTTCAGCTACTGTGGATGGGTGATGGAGAGAAGGGCAGTTTTCAGGTGTAAGGGAGGGAAAATGCTTTCTTCTACCTTTCTAAATTCTTTGGTTGGTCTACAGATTAAATTGACATGAGACAGGCTAATAGGAGGAAAAACAATTTTTACTACACCTGTATGCACAGGAGTCCCACAGAAATAGGAGACTCAAGAAAGAACCAGCTGGTTGAGACTTACATATCATCCTGAGCTACAGAAGGGAATAGGGGCTTGGTGCTCCTGGGGTGCTGCAGGCAAATTGTGGGAAGGAGAGAGAGGGAATGTGTGGTGAACAGAGGTTGCTTTCCTATGCAGGTGAAAAACTCTCAGGGAGAAAATGTCTTTGACTAGCTCTCTTCCTAGTATGGGTGTATTCACTAGTGAAAATTTTCCTTATAAATTTAAATTTCCTTTACAAAAGGGGAAACTTACACTTTGTTTTAGGCCATTAACGGGAGGTAAAGAGCTTTTCAGCATTGGCTTCTTCACAGGGCTAGGGAATGGTCTGATGGGAGAGGAGCAAAGGTATGTTACATATGTTCTGATACGTTGCTACAGGGCTGAGGACATGCCATCCAAAAATATGTCTCTTTAGCATAAGAATTAGCACAGAGATTACTACAGGGGACAACCTACAAGACTGGTACCCAAGGAGCACCTAGACTAGGGATCAATGATTCTTAATATTTTCTGGTTGCGGATTTCTGCTCATCCCCATGGATGGTGGCCCATGGATTTCAGACTAAGAACCTCAGTCTAATAGGAAAGGCAGACAAACAAATTATGTCAGGGGATGTTTGATCCAACAATACAAGTGTCTAAGCAAGGGTTCTGAGCTTTGGCTGCATACAGAAACATCTAGGGAGCTTTCACAGAACACCCCTGGTCCCACACCCAGAGGAATGGCATGACAAAACCCCTGTGAAAACTTCTAGAGCAATGCTGTCAATAACAGAAAATATGTAGTGATAGGAAATGTTAACTTACTAAGAACATTCATCAGATGTAATTAGCACAGAATACCATAAAGATCAAGACCTGGTAGAATTTTGCTGGAGGGAATTAAAAGCAGGAATAAAAATTCCATCAAAATATTTGTTGATCACTAAGTAACTATGCATCACATGCATTGTTTTATTTAATGTTCACAACGGGTCCTATGGAGTAGTTATGATTATCCCATTTTATAGATGATAAAACTGAGGTTTAAAAGTATGAAAGAAAAAGTACTCTGGACAAGTAAAGGAATAGGTGTATTGGGGTATTACAATGGGAAGAACATTCACTTTATGAGGAACATCTCAAAGAAAGGATAGGGAGGCTGAAGTTTCTAGAAGCAGGTAAAGGAGGGAATGAATCTTACAAGGGTCTCAAGGAAGGGTGGAGACAGGTTTTAGCAAGGAATATGCTAGGGGAGGGTGGTTCTTGACAAGATTGTTTCCCAGAATACAAAAGGTAGAGGGACTTCTTGACCCTTACTGTTTTCTCAGGCTCAAGTAAAATTTAATATGGTCAAAAGACTGAGCAACTTACCCAAGGTCAATCAGTGGCTCAGCTGGATTCTCACCCAGAGTAGCTGGTGCAGTCTGTTCTAGATTTGTGGCCAGAACATCCATTTCTGTAGAAAAGATTGGGTGTTCATCCAGGAAAAGTCAGGCGAAGGGAAGACTTTGGAGTGTAAGATCTTAAACTGAGTTATTCTGTGAGCCTGGACAGAATCACAGGAGTTGAGTTCCAATTAAATAGCTCTGGGAATGTGACAGTGGTCCCTTCGCCTTCTGAATATAGCCCTCATTGCTCTAAGTTTTCTTTTTTCCTTTTTCTCTCTATTTTCCCCTCCACTCCTCCCTAACAAGATTAGGGAGACAGTGTTGTTATCTTTTCTTCCCCTAGTTAATTGCCCTAGAACACACCCACTACAGGAAGGAGATGGCTTCTAGGATCTGAAAGTTTCCCAAGTTTCCATAGGGACCCCCTGCTGAAGTGTAACCCTTGAAGAGTTCCTTTAAAACCTCCCAGTCCCTCCTGATGGGGAGAGTCACAGCCTTTGGGACAGGAGTCCCCTGAGTTTCTCTTTTGCTAGCAAAGCAATAAAACTTCTTTTTCCCTTTTCTCAAAACTGAGTCCTCATTATTAAATGGGCATTGATTGGCACTGCGGACAGGGACCGAGTTTTCAGTTATAGGAAGAGGAGTATTTGAGAAATCCAACAAACCAGGACCCAGGACAAGGGCTTCTCTTGGACTAATAAAGTGGGAGCTCCCCGCCTCTTGTAGGCAAGGAAATCAACTGGAGCTGGCATAAACCCCTGGGCAGAAGCTGGCTCTGCTTTCCTCCAAGGACCTTAGATATCCCCTGGGGCTTGGACAGAGGTGGGAAGACATGCAGAGAGCCTGAGAGGCCTGCTCCACTTCTGAGCTCCCAGGTAACCCAAGCCACCAACTGGCCGAGCTTTACTTTAACTGCTTCATGTTCATTAGACATCATTCTCACGGACTCATTAAGCAAGTTCAAGGACCTTTAGTGCTCTGTTGACTGAAGTAGAAAATGAAAATGAGTTTTTACACTTGTACAGCTTAATAATTAAAAGGCAGAGAGACGGTTTTGTGCTTTCTGACATGTGGGGCCTCAGATAAAGTTTCCCTGGGGTTCCTAATGCCAAGACCTTCTCATTTTATACAGATTTATTGAGTATTCACAATGTACTAGTACCGACATGGGCCATTTAGTGACTAAAATAGATAATGGCCCACCCTCTGAAACTTCCAGTCTAGTAGAGTAAGGAGATAATAAACACAATAAATACATTATAGAGAATAATAGAAACTAATATGGGATTTAGGAAAAAAAAAAGAGCAAAGGAAGCTGCTTAGAAGTTGTGGTAGCTTTCCAGTACTGTAATAAATACCTTTGTTGATAAGAAGAATCAACTCATAAGGAAGAAAGTTTCAGACCCTCAGTCCATGCCCCTTTGGGCCTGTGACAGCATAGTAAAACCCGGCAGGAACACGTGGTTGAGGACGTCTGTTCACCTCCTTGTGACCCAGAAGCAAAGAAAGAAGTAGAAGAGGGTCAGGGTTCCCAATATCCCCTTCAGGGGATTATCTGCAATGATTTAACTTCTTTCACTAGGCCCTGTGTCCTAAGGCTCCACTATCTCCCAATAGCACCATAGGCTAATGACCAAACCTTTGACCATTGGCCTTTGTGGACTATTCAAGAAGTGCTGAGTAGGTGGGGTGAGGCATGCATTTCATTTATTAATTTGTTTGAATCAAATTTATCTTTAACTGATCCCTGAAAACATAAGATTATATATATTAATGTTATCCCATATGACATTTTGATATACATGAATATATTGAATAATATTTAAATCAGGTTAAACATGTCTGTGTCCTGAGACAGCTATCATTTATATATGTGAAAACATTCACGTTCCTTTCTTCCAGCTTTTTGAAATACACAGCACATGATTGTTGTCTATTGTCCCCCTTCTGTGCAATAGGACACCAGGATTTCTTCACTCCTCTCTAACTGTAACTCACTACCCATTGGTAACTATTTATTTATTTTTTTCCTTCAGTGCTGGTGATCAAACCCAGGGCCTCACAGGGACTAGGCAAGCACTTTTCCACCGAACGATGTCCCCAGGTGTATTTAAAATAAGGAAGTCAAGGGAGAAGTCAAATAGGTGAGCACAGGTGAGAGTGAGCCTTGCAGATATCTGAGGCAGGATGTTTTGAAGAGAGGGAGGAGCCAGTGCAAAGGTCCTGAAGTGGGAGTGTGCCTGATGTGTTCGAGGAATAGCAAAAAAGCTGTGGAACTAAGGATGGGGAGAAGGATAAGAGGTCAGAGAAGAAATAGTAGCCAGGTGATGAAGGGTCTGAGACCTTTGTAAGGGCTTTTGGTTTTACTCTGAATGAGTGGGGACTATAGCATTGGTTATCATCACATTCCTCCAAGTCTTATTTGCCGACTCTTGGGGGAAAGAGGAGTGGTTCTTTCAGTCACAAGGGACCCTGGACACCAAACAGGAATAAAAGCACCAAGGTCTAAATGCAACTCCAGGGCAGCATTTCAGATGGGTCAGAAACAAGGATGTCTGTGTGGTGGCAAAATTAAGGGAACAAACAGCAGAGGCCAGAGGTAGGGACTTGGTTTAGCTTCTCTACCTCTGGGAGGCTGTCACCCAAGGGCCTTCCATAGAGCAGGACTCTCTCTAGGCTCTGATGGGACCTTAGACTTGCCTCTTCTAACACCAGTCCAGTGTGTTATCTGTTGACCTTCCCTCAAAAGCCCACCTCCTGGAGATTAGGGTCTCTGTCTTATTTATTGTTTTGTTTTGCTTTGTTTTTTCCTCTCCCATTGTGTCAGACTTACTGCAATGAATGACTAATGAATGGCCAACAACAGTAACATTTATTGAGTGCTTACTGTATGCTATCTATGCATTTTAAATTCATTAACCCACTTCATTCTCCCAGAAATACTCAGAAATAAGGACTACTGCTTATTACCCACCACCCACAATGAGTAACTTGAGGTTCAGAGAGGTTGTTTGTTAAGAAGCCACAGTTTCTGGGCTGTGGCTGTAGCTCAGTGGTGGAGTGCTTGCCTAGCACATGTGAGGCACTGGTTTCGATCCTCAGTACCACATAATAAATAAATAAATAAATAAATAAATAATAAATAAATAAAAGTATTGTGTTCATCTACAACTAAAAAAAAAAATTTAAAAAAAAAGAAGCCACGGTTTCTATGGGGATAGGAAGGATAATAGAATGAAACAGATGTTATTATCCTCTGTACGGATAGGACTGCATGACCCATGTGATTCTACAACATGTATAACCAGGAAAATCAGAAATCATATCCCATTTATGTATGATATATCAAAGTGCATAAATGTATCCTACTGATATGTGTAACTAATTAAAACAAATTTAAAAAATTTAAAAAAAAAGAAGCCACAGTTTCAACCTAGGCAGTGGGGTTCAGAGCCTGTGCTATTAACCACCACAAGAAGATGACGGATGGGTCAGTAGATGGATGGCAGGACATGTCAGAATTACGATGCAAAGTTAGAATTAGTTAGTGTTTGCAGAAAGGAACATCGGGGGGAAGAAATTTTGAAATTTATTTCTAGTTGCTAGTAGATAGTATTAGTGAACAAAAGCCCAGAGGGAAAAGAAATGGACAGTCATGGCAGCAAGCCATCTGCATCGTTACCAGATGCCTAAACTCGCTTGCTTTGGCTTCTCTGGCTTAGGAGGAAGGTCTCCCCCAGATTCTGGAATTGCCAAGCTTGATGAGAAACCCTGTTCAGGTGGGGTGGGTGTGGGAGATGGTTCAAGGAAGGACTCTCAGAGGAAATAAACTCGTTTTTATTTAACTTTTACTTTTTGAAGTATATTCAGCAGCAGAGCTGTGCACCAATTTTAAGTGTTAGAATTCAGTGGTGAAAGTGAAGTTTTGACTTGTGTCTTGTGAGACTGAATAGGAAGTTAAAGGTCAGGAGAGCACATCCCATGCAAAGGCTAAAGAGCATCAAGTCCCTTGTGGTATGGTTTGTCCCAAGAATAACATGCTGCTTGGGTTTGACAATAGATAAGACTGGAGAAAAGTCCACAGAAAAGATAAGTCTGGCACCTGCCAGAGATAGGACGCTAGCTTAGAGTGCAGAGTTTTCATGTTTCCATTATATTCTGAGTTGCTATTTTT